CTCCGCCTTCAGAGTAGCTGGGATTACAGGTGTGCACCGCAATGCCCAGCTATTTTTTTTTTGTATTTTTAGTAGAAACAGGGTTTCACCATGTTAACCAGGCTGGTCTCGAACTCCTGACCTTAGCTGATCCACCCACCTCACCTCCCAAAGTGCTGGGATTACGGGGGTGAGTCACCATGCCTGGCTGCAGAGATCACTATTTTCTGATGCTGAATATAGAATTTTGTAATTATAAGTTGGTGAGTTCAACATTAATTCTGGCAGTGTTCTAAAATGAGTTATTTAATGGAACTTTGTATGAACCTAAAAAAGGGAAACCACCAATCAGCAAGAACATCATAGAGTCACTGTCATCATTTCAGACAACTTCGTTTTTGGATGAGCTCTTTGGCGAGGTGATGGAGAACTAACTTGTCAACTGCTAAATGACATCAAACTGAGAGAACTAGTGAATCTATCGGGTTCAAGATCCTGAGAGATGGGGGCAAGTGGCTTTAGAAGTCACTTTTGCTTCTTGGATAAGATAATGAATGAGGCAACAGAAAGCAAGGTGATTAAATAGTACCAAACTGACAGAAATGGCAGATGTGTATTTCTTATCCAAAACAGAGTAAGAAATAAGCAAAAGTCTAAATTCAATGAGATAATATTCAACACAGATAAGTATAAGATATCATCATCAAGTCTAACTACTAATGGGTAACTCAATGGGTATCATCAAGTTTAGCTACTAATGGGCCAACTGCTAATGGATTTCTTTCGGGGGTCATGAAAGTGTTCTGCAAGTAGACGGTGGTGATGGTTGCACAATATGTAAATATACTAAAACCACTGAACTGTACCCTTTAATAAAAAAGGTGACTTTTATATTATTTGAATTTTATCTAATTAAAATATAATTTCAAAATGTTTTATATATCATATATTATGTCAGATACATTAACATCCACAAATATTTAACACTAATACTATATAAGAAGATTCACAATACTGTCAAGTAGTATTGTGTACAATTGTATAATGTACAAGAGGCCTGGATTAATAAAGCAAATTGTTAAAAATAATGAGGCTGGGCACAGTGGCTCCTGTAATCCCAGCACTTTGGGAGGTGAAGGTGAGTAGATCACCTGAGGTCAAGAGTTCAAGACCAGCCTGGCCAACATGGTGAAACCCCATCTCTACTACAAATATAAAAATTAGCTGGGTGTGGTGGCACATGCCTGTAGTCCCAGCTACTCAGGAGGCTGAGGCAAGAGAATCGCTTGAACCCAGGAGGTGGAGGTTTCAGTAAGCTGAGATCACGCATTACACTTCAGCGTGGGTGACAGAGTGACACTCCGTGACAAAAACAAACAAACAAAAAGCAATGAATTAATCATTCATTCTTCACTAATTTACTGCAGGCTTAGCTGGCCCCAAGCACTGTGTTAGGTGCTATAGATACAAAGGGTGAACAAGATATAATCTCTACCATCATAGGACTTCCATCAAGCCAGGGGAACTTGACATTAAATGAACATAACTCAAATACATATAACAATTGTAATGAGGAACCTAAGAGGAAAACACAAGGTTTTATGATAAAACACAACAGGCAGATCTGATTTAGATGGAGGAGTTGAACAACGGCCTGAGAAATCATAATTTCAAATGAGAAGGATCAAGTATTTAGCCAGGTGAAGAGTGAGAATTAATGCTCCCCGAGATAGAACAACAGTGCACAAGTCCTGAGGCAGAAAACAACTGGTCCTGTGGGAGAACTCTGTGAAGGCAAGTTGTATCAGAGGGTAGTGAATAAGAAGACTGTCACAAAACAAGGCTGCAGAAATAGGAAGGGCTCAGTCTACACAGGGCCTTACAAGCCATTCTGGGGATTCTCACTTCATATCCTGAGTACAAAGGGAAGCTACCTAGGAATTTTAGCAGGGAAGTAGCATGATCCATTTGAGACACAAAAGCACCACCCAGGCTCCTCTGTGAAAAACGGATTCAAGAAGAGCAAAAAAGTAAATGAGGAGACCAGTCAGGGTCAGACTGGAGGGTAGGTGTAGAAAGGAAGAGAAGACATTTGCAATGTCTGTTTTGGAGGTTACCACATATACTATTTCATAACTCAAATTTACACATGTGGGAAGAATGCCTTCCAGAAAGACCAAAGTCTACAAAGTAGAGATCACTTACCAGGATCCTGGACACATTCACCTCAATCCAGTACCAAATTAAATCCCACAAACACTTCAAATTACTTCCAGGAGTCCCAAAATCTTTTCATTTAATTAAGCAGTACTTGAACCCAAATTATGTGTAAGCTTCCAGCTTAGAGTGGTAAAGGAAGCCAGAGTTTTTTTCAAAGTGGTGAAGGAAGTTTTCAGAGTGGTAAAGAAAGTTTTCTGAGTGGTAAAGGAAGCCAGACAGTGAAGCAGAAACCTAGAAGTTAACTGGGATGAGTACAGGTAATACTTGGTGCCCTTGCTTTAACTCATCTGCAAGCCAGCTTGTCCTTGGAACTTTTTTCCTCTCTAGAGGAACCATTCTGAAGAGAAGCACTCTGCTTAGCATATGCTGTGTTAAAGGCTTCAGTTAAACACACACAAACCCTCAGAAAGAAATATGTGCAAAGCATTCCAGATTATGCATGTGCATCTGTCTCCTTAAATTGCACTCCAGAGACTAAAGCAGAACACAGAGACTGCCATGGATATTACACAGTCTACAGTCAGTGAATGAATGATTTCCCTTGTAACAGAAAAGCAACTGTACATTATACATGCATACAATTCTTTTCCTCTTAAAATAAAACTCTACTACCCACATGGTAAATATTGCTTTAAACATACAATGGGCCAAATAAACAAACTTTGTATCTACTCCTTGCAAACGCAAGACGCAAAACTATGAAATTGAAGGAAATTTACCTATAGTTTCACCAGAGTATAACAGAAGCAAATAATAAAGATGAATATGATTAGTAACAACTACATATTTAACTCTGCATGCTCTGTAAGTAATCTTGTTCTCTTTTTCATTTAGACTGTTAAAATTAACTTTGCTCTTAAAAATGTAAAACAGAAGGAGGAAGTTATTTAACATCCAGGAATCATTTATCTTTGACTGTTATTCTTTTCAGCTTCTTTAGAGTTGTAATTATTTATTACAATATATATTTATACAACTACATGACCACTGTCAAAAATGCTCCTAGTCCCCCTTAAGTCCTTCCATGTTAAGACAGCTCTTCTAAGAAGGTTTCCCTTGCCCTTGAGGGCAGAGCTGATCCTCTATCCAGTCTCCCCCTCTACCCATCGCACCTTGTATATGTCTCTATCGTACACTGACATATTTACAACTGCCTCCCCTTCCAGACTGTGAATTCCTGGATGCTCCCAGCACTCAATACAGAGCCTGGCACATGAAAGATTCTAAATGCTTGTGGAATAAAATAAATGAATAAATGAATCAGATCCATCCAACCTCTGTAATTTCTGATTTTTTTCACTGGCATTATCCCAAATGTTAACGACCCATCCAATTCAATAACACTTCAGACAATTTTCCATTTCCCCCCAATTTCTTCCTATTTCCAGATAAATGGGGATTTCTGACTTGAAGTACTGCACTGCTTAGGGAGTATCAATAAACACCAATTTTAAGAGTAAGTAAAAACATTTCTTGCGACTCAGCTTTACATGTGAATTTGTGCCAGGTGTCTTTGTATACAGAAAAGGCCTTGTCACCCCAAATTCATATTCCATAAGAAAGTGGCATCCACTGCCATGTCACCCTATCATTCTTGCTATCGACATCCACATCAGATATCACTTTTATAAAGGACCCCCCTCATCATAAAAGAAAAAAGAATGCCCTTGGCAAGGGTAGAGTCCATGAGTTAAATTCGTCCTTCTGGAATAAATTATTTAGTACCACTTAAACTCTGAAAGCTTTGAGCCACCTATCCTGTGGTTTATAGCACTATCTTCTAAGTTTACAATTTCCTGATTGTGAAAGGACAATTTAATCCCCTAGCGCAAAATCAATACAATTTAAATTTACTGTTGGAACTGACATTCTCCAGCAAACTGAAAGACTTCTTTTTCCAATGACACAAGATAATTTTAAACTGCTTTTACAAAAAAGTACTCAGGAACTATTCCAAAATTTAGAAATGAATTCTTCCTGGATATAAAGCAATTGCCCCTACCCCTCTTAAATGAGTGGGCTCCCTGGAGCCACCTGAGCTACGGCCACTCTGACCTAGGTTTGACCTGTTACGGGCCTACATTTTAAATGGAAGTTCTTCCAGCAAAAGGCAAGGAGCTGTGGTGGTAGTAACAACAGACAGCCAATAGGATTTTAAAACATATTTTCAGTCCTTTAGGGTTTTCATTCTAAATTAGATCATCAGTACAACTACTGATACATCAGTTAACGTTTCCGATGTTAATTTACTGGACTGATCAGGGACCATTCGCTTCTGTTGATTAGCAAAAACTGGTGTTGTTTACAACACACCAGTGCGTGACGAATCCATAAGCTGCATCTTTTTCTCTAACGAACAAAACAGACTGGAAAAGGCAAGAACCATCATTCAACCTACAGTGAACATTGATCATCCCTTCCGTGTAAGGCTCCTTGAAGCTGCTATACTGAGGATGAGGATGGTGACTGAAAAGGCCGAGTCGAGTGGGCCTGATCCCCTAGATTTAACAAGCTTCCAGGCGCAGGAGGCCATCTGCCTGCAGCTCGTTTTCCTTGCACCTGTCACCGAAAGGCTTGTTTCCCTTTCAACTGCTCTGAGCAGCCAACAGCTAAAAGGAAAGGCCTCGCGCCAGGAGAAAGAAGCGTTGATCAACAGCCAGTTGCTAGCAGACAACTGAGGTTCCCTCCCGTCCACCCCTGTGTCTACTGTGCGCCCCTAAACCAAGAGGTCAGACCCAGCAGCAGCTAAGGCTAGGCCTGAGAGGCAGCAAGAGAACGACCAGGCTCGTGGGGACCCAGAGATGCTCAGGCGCTCCCAGCTCCTCCCTCGCCCGCGGTCCAGGCTCCATCGGCGCCTGTCAGAGCAGTCGGCCTCCCGCGCGCTCAGCATCCCTCCTCCTCCTCCATCTCCTCTCGTCCCTCCTCCTCCCGCCCTGGTGCCACCAACCTTGGGCGTGCGGATGTGCTCCATGGCTGGCACACGTCTGCAGGGTCCCCGGCGGGCGCGGCCTCACGCACCTGCGTGCGTCTGCGGCGCGACGGGAGGGGCGCGTGGAGTGGGCTTCGCGCCCGGGCGTGGGCGGAACGCGGGCTTGGCTCCGCCCCCAGGTGCGCCTCGCGCGGCCCCTGGGCTACCGCGCGGCCCTAGAGAGCGCACCTCTGCGCCTGCGCCCACCTGCGCCGCCGTTGCGCCGCACCTCTACCCGAGTGGCAGGCGCCGGGGCCTCTCGCTCCCTCTTAAGAGGGGCAGCCGGCGTAGCACTGTACGGCCACTGTTCCCCAAGACACAAAGAGGGCCTTGTGTTGGGTGTGGTCTCTTGGAAGAGAGATGGGGAAGTACACGCTGCTCCACACCGCCCCTGGGCTTCCTTCCAGGGCGTCCCAAGATAGGTGGGATTTCAGAGTGGGGCGGAAAAGAAGACTGCCACAGACACTCTAGAACCAGGACGGTCTCGTGGGCTCGAGGTGCGTGTTTCAGCCCAGGCGCGGCAGGCATAGCACTGGAGGTGCGGGTGGAAATATTAGCAGCAGTATTAGCGCCCTGCTAAATGCTCTGCTAAGTCAGGCATCTCGCATCCACCTGCGACTTCACTGTTGCAGACAAACTTTTCCCTTGGCACGGGGTTGGGTGTTCATTTACTATCTTTATTTAGCTCCAACTGAACTGGGAGATAGAGGTACAAAGCATCCATTATGCGGTACCATTTCCCTACTTAATATTAACGGTAGTTGGAACCATAATTAGTACTAAGCCTCTTGGGAAAAGTCAAAGAGAAGAAGAACGTCCTCTATTTTTTTTTCTTGCAGCCCTAAGAGTACAATGTTCCACCATAACTAAAATTTTATAGAATATTACATAGTTCTTGGAATATCTGTTCAATTTTTTCCTTGCTCTTATCTTTCGGGCCAGATTGTGAATTTTTTCTTTTCCGTAGAGACTCTGCTTATCTCTTTTTGTTCAAGGCCTGGACACATTGCAGTGTTCCGACAAATAATTAATATGGTATTGAATTTATTTTAAAAATTCCAGAGCCCTCTTCCACACATCTTCTGCCTCCTACTACTTTGGAGGCAATTAGGATTAGCACTATAAACCACTATTTGCATATGTCATGATTGACCCAGGGCGTTGTTTCTTCTTTACCGAATAACAGCAGGAATAGAGTCAAGAGTGCTCTGGTGCCAACTCACACACCGGCCTCAGTCTCCTCGTTTATAAAACGAGAAAGTCGCCTGCCTAGATAATCTCAAAGTTAGCTATCATCTCCAAATTCTTTCAGTACAAAGAATCTTAAGTACTTTTCTGGAGGGGAACATTCTAAATAGGCAAATGACATTGAAATTTTATGCTTTCAGGGTTCTATTCTTCTACTGGTGAGCTGATTAAAAGTCTACTTGGTGAGTAATTTTTGCATGAAAAGTGTTTCTGGCCTGTTGCTTATTATAATAGGTTTTTTAAAAAACACTAATTGGTAGATGAAAGGAAGTAAATCTGAACAATTTAGCCTAATGTTAAGATATTACATCACAAACGGTGTTAATCCCTAACAACCACAAAGAACTTTCTGGTACTTACAGTGTTATATAGCCCTCTAAGCTTCCTTGCTGTTCTAACACCACCTAGCAGGGCAGAAGAGATTGAAAAAGTAGTAAGAATTGGAGGGCAGTAAGGTGAGAGAACAGAGAGTATATTGTTGAAATGGTTGGCTGTATTCATCCTAAATAGAGAGAAAAGGAAAACTGGCCATTCGTTTACTCAGAAAATACTGCTATTATTTAACTATTGGTCATACTTAAGGTATGATGGCAAATCCTGGAAGATTGAAGGGAGTCTCAGATAAGAAGGACATTAAGCCCTGTAATTGTGATATGGCCAACACCACAGAAGTAAAAGACAGACCAACTAAGGTGGTGACAGAGCATGGAGAAATACTAAAGAAAGCCTTAAGAAGAGTGGTCTACTTTCTGCCTTTCTCCTATTACTTCAAGAAAAATCAGTGGATAGACTTAGAATCATGTACTTCTTGAAGTTTGATATTTGGTGTGTCTGAAATGAACTGTAATCCAGAAGGATGAATGCTGCATCTCTGAGTCTTCACAAAGCAGAAATCTCTCCATCTGGTCCCAGACCAAGAAATGAGAAGGGGAGAGAAAAAAAGTTTATCCTTCCAACTCTATGTAATTTGCAGATGGAGCCACACTCAGATTTATACCAAATCAGCCTATGTCCACAGAATTGGAAAATGGCTACTTTTTTCTCTACTATTTATGACTCTTGGATAGAAAATAAGTGTATTTCAACAAAGCTATTTTTACCATCAAGCAAAATATCAGACAATAGAGTTAAGATCTAGTTACCTGCATGTCCACCAAACTGCTTCTTCCCTTGTCAGGGCACATTGTAGTTGCCGTCATTTTATCATCAGTGTCTGGGATTTTTGCCTTAGGAAATGGTAGGTATTACTCTACACTACCTGTCCTATCTGGGAACACAGGGACTATTACTCCTATCCTACCTGGGAACACAGGGACTACACTTCTCAACCCCCTTGCTATTGAATGGGGCCATGTGACTGGTTGTGGCCAATGGACTGTGAAAGTGGCTTATGTCCATTCTGAGCCAAACACCTACAAAGCCCCTGTGTGGCCCTTCACTTCTCTCTTCCCCTGTCTTGATGATATGGAGGTCACATGTTGAGATTAAAGAGAAAGGCTGGGTACAGTGGCCTACACCTATAATCCTAGCACTTTGGGAGACCAAGGAGGGCAGATCACCTGAGCTCGCGAGTTTGAGACCAGCCTAGCCAAAATGGTGAAACCCCATCTCTACTAAAAATATGAAAAGTAGCCAGGCATGGTGGCACGCACCTGTAATCCCAGCTATTCAGGAGGCTGAGGCAGGAGAATTGCTTGAACCCAGGAGGCAGCAGATGTAGTGAGCTGAGATCATGCCACTGCACCACTCAGGCCTGGGCAACAGAGTGAGACTCTGTTGAGAGAGAGAGAGAATAATGATAATGAATTTTCTGTTAAAAAAGAGAAAAAAAATAATAATGAATTTTCTCTTCATGTTTGAAGTAACTGTGGCCACAAACTATTCAGTATTAGAATGAAATGAGACAAGATTTGCTTACATTATTACAAGAACTGTGGAAAGCCACAGCTCATTCTTTTGTGAGTGAAAAGAACACTTTTTTGTCATTGTTGTCACATAAAGCCACTGAGCTTTAAAGCTTAATTTAGCCTAGCCTACCTTCTGGACTACGGTTCATTCCAGACACACCAAATATCAAACTTCAAGAAGTACATGATCCTAAGTCTATCCATTGATTTTTCTCGAAGTAATAGGGAAAAGGCAGTAAGTAGGCTACTATTCTTGAGGCTTTCTTTAGTATTTCCACATGCTCTGTCACTACCTTAGTTGGTCTGCCTCTTATTTCCTTGGTGTTGGCCATATCACAATTACAAGATTTAGTGTCCTTCTTATCTGGGACTCCCTTCCAGCATTTGCCAATATAGCCTATACTATATTGAAGTGGAAAGAGAATTTGAGAGAGAGAGAAAATAATACACTGTCTCTACCTTTGTCTTTATGATTTTTTTTAAAGAGGGAGTTGATAATGTCTTTAAAGATCTCTAGGGATACTTACCCATATTAGAGACCTAAACTACTTGATTGCAAGTTACCAAACATCTTCTAGAGAATATCTTCTTATGCAACTTTTATCATATAGATAATTCAGTTGCAAATACTATTGCTAAAAGAATTTTAAAACAAAAACTTGATATTAACTGGGCAGTTTCCCAGAATCCCTTTATCTTCAATGGCCTGAGGAGATTTGAATACTTATCAAAAACACTTGCAAGACTTTTTCCAGAATACTTACATTTCTCCTGAGGCAACTCAAACTTCTGATTTGGCAGTGAAACCAAAACATGTTTCTTTGGGGATGGTATTGCTAATGATTACAAACTCAGTACGATCCTATTCTGCGTAATTAAACCCAAGTGGACCATATTATGAGTGCAGCAGGGAACATATCTCTGAACAATCTCAGCCTCATCTGGAATCACTCAGTATGATAGGCTCAGCGTTGCATTTGGGGTTCTGCCTGGCAAAAAATAAAAGCAGCATCTCTTCCTTCAGGATTTGTATAAACCAACGATGCAATGTATCAATGTCTTGTTGGCCTTGTCCTGTGACAAAGATGTGGAGGAAAAGCACTCAATGGATTGCAGTCAGCTTGCCCTTCTTCTAGGAGCCAAAAGGAAATTCTAGGGCAGCAAGAAAAGAGTGTTTACTCAATAGTCAAGGCTTTAACATAGCCTCCTTCCAAAACTATGAAACTGCTGGAGTAAAACATAGGGGAGACTCTTCAGGACATTGGTCTGGGCGAGGGTTTTTTGGGAAAGCACTCAAAAGCGTAGGCAACAAATGCAGAAAGAGACAAATGGGATTACATTAAATTTAAAAGCTTCTATACAATAAAGGAAACCTACAGAAGGTGAGAAAACCTACAGAAGGTGAGAAAATATTTGCTAACTATGTGCATTTGCCAAGGGGTTAATATCCAGAATATATAAGGAATTCAAACAACTCAACAGCAGAAAAACCAAATAGTCTAATTTAAAAATGGACAAAAATCCTGAACAGAGATTTCTCAAAATGAGACATACAAATGACCAACTATGAAAAAATCCTCATCGTTAATCATGAGGAAAATGAAAACCAAAACCACAGCGAAATATCACTTCACTCCAATCAGAATGACTATTATCAAAAAGATAATAGTCATAATAACTAATGATGGCAAATATGCAGAGAAATCAGAGCCCTTAGGCATCGTTGGCAGGAATATCAATTAGTACAGCTATGATAGAAAACAGTATAGAGTTTCCTCAAAACTTAAAAGTAGAACTACTATATGATCCAACAATCTCACTAGTGGGTATTTATCCAAAGGAAATGAAATCACTTTGTTGAAGAGATATCTGCCCTCTCATGTTTATTGCAGCACTATTCACAATAGCCAAATATGGAATCAACCTAAGTGTCCATCAATGGATGAATATAAAGAACATGTTGTAGAGATACATAGTGGAATACTATCCAGCCATAACGAATGAAACCCTGCCATTTGTGACAATATCGATGAACCTTTAGGACATTATGATAAGTGAAATAAGCAGGGCACAGAAAGATATATACTGTGTGATCTTACTCATCTGTGGAATCTTAAAAAGCTGATCTCGTAGATGTGCAGAGTAGATTACTGGCTACCAGAAGCTAGGAAAATAGGGAAAGTTGGGTATGTGAAGGGATTGGTCAGTGAGTACAAAATTACACTTAGATGGCTGGAATAAGTTCTAGTCTTTTATTCCATAGTATAGTGACTGTCATTAACAACATTGTACTGTATATCTCAAAATAACCAAAAGAGAGGACTTTGAATGTTCTCACAGCAAAGAAATGATCGATGTTCAAAGTGATGGATATGCTAATTACCCTGATTTGATCATCGTACAGTGTATACGTGTACCAAATATCACATTATCCCATAAATATGCAATTATATGTTGATTAAATATAAGACTAAAATCTTTCAAAATAAAATATTTTAACATTTAAAAATAATTAAAGTAACAATAAAATAGTCTCCTGTATTTTGTTCTCGCTCTAGGAAGGCACACCACCCAAGTTCAAGTCTGTGTCATCAGGACACTGATTTTTTTTTTTTTTCTGAGATGGAGTCTCACTGTTGCCCAGGCTGGAGTGCAGTGGCACCATCTCAGCTCACTGCAACCTCCGCCTCCTGGGTTCAAGCAATTCTTGTGCCTCAGCCCCCCGCATAGTTGGGTTACATGCACCTGCCACCATGCCCAGCCAATTGTTATATTTTTTGGTAGAGACAGGTTTCTGCCATGTTGGCCAAGCTGGTCTTGAACTGCTGACCTCAAGTGATCCACCTGCCTTGGCCTCCCAAGTGCTGCGATTACAGACATGAGCCACCACACCCAGCCAGGACGCTTATTTTTCTTATTCCCTTCCAACTTCTATCCTTTTTTTTCTTTTTTTTTTGGTGGGGGAGATGGAATCTTGGTCTGTCATCCAGGCTGGAGTGCAGTGGCACGATCTCAGTTCACTGCAATCTCCACCTCCCAGGTTCAAGTGATTCTTCTGCCTCAGCCTCCTGAGTAGTTGGGACTACAGATGTACGCCAGCACACCGAGCTAATTTTCGCATTTTTAGTAGAGGCGGAGTTTCTCCATGTTGGTCTCCATCTCTTGACCTCGTGATCTGCCCACCTCAGCCTCCCAAGGTGCTGGGTTACAGGCTGAGCCACACTACCCAGCCCCACTTCTATCCTTTCAGCCATCACTTGGATGCAGTTAATTCC